AAATACGGTGTGTACATATATATATATATATATATATATATATATATATATATATATATCTCCCCTTATGTCTTCCTCCAGCGTCTACTTGTATCCAAGTTTCAGTCCCTTCTTGTAAGGCCCACCCGCTTCCTCAGTTCACCGTAAGCTCCACCCTCTTCATCTCTGTTCCAACAAATCACTCCCTGGCCTCCCCTTAAGTTGAGTTACTTTTCCCTCTTTGTATTCAGTTCTTTTTATCTTATTGGATTTGTGACCTTTTGTCAAGCTTCCTCATCTTCCCTGACTGACAGTTTTATTTTTTATTCAGTTTTGCCTGTCAGGTGTATTTTTTTGTTTTGTTTTTTTTGGGTTTTTTTTTGCAGTTGAAGTTGTTTCAAGATATATTTGAAATGCAATAGTTTCCGCAAAGTAGAAAGGTTTTCTGTCAAAGGTGGGGTCCGTCATCGTGACGGAATGCGGTTTCTTGCACTTGCACTGCGAGACAGCCTGTCTTTGGATGCGTTTGTGTACGCAGTAGACAATGTAGCGAGTTGAAAAGGTGGTTTTAGAGATGGAGTTTCATGCACACCTAGTTTGAAATGCCACAATCCATTGTTGACGTCGATAAAATTCAGAAATTACCAGACTCGGCTCATAACTGAATAGGGTTTTTTTTCAATGCAGCGGACACATTGATTAGTGGTAAAGCTTAAGCTTACTGGCGGCCTTTCCTGTAAATCTCCATACAGTATGCATTGTGCAATGTCGTGATTATTTACACCGCAAGCTGTCATTTAAATATTTAGTATTGTCGCGGTCTAAGTCTTGTGCGCCAGATTTGAATATGGATGAAGTTCTTACGCTTCTTTCCAAATGTAGGCCATGTACAATTGTCAAAACGATGAGGATGACGAGAGGCGCAACGCAATGAAAAGTCCAAAGGCTTACTCTCTCCGTAAAAACGGCAATGGAGAAATGGGAGCTAGGGTAGGTAAAAAAAATAAAAATAACATCTCCTGAAAGAAATACAAAAGCAGAACACACACCTCTCCTGGGGCTAAACTGTTAAAAGAAAACTGTGAAGCACAGTATTAGTGTTTGGTGCAAGCGGAATATGGCGGAGCGCTCGGATATAACGAGACAAAAAGGCAACTGTGGGCCAGTGACCAAAGTGCAGCCTTTCAATCCTTCATTCCTCAGCACTCATCACAGATCTCTCAGAGTCAACTCTCGACAGCGCTCCCTTCCCAACATGGCTCTCCAGAACCCACGGAACCCCCCTGCCATCCCATTAGCTCTGCCAAGTGGAGCTGTTGGATTTCCGAACAGCCCAGAGAAGGTCGAGCTTTTATTGAGCTTTTCCCGTGTGCGCGTCTACGTGCGCGCGTGACTCTGCATGTCCGCGCGCGCCCGTTTAAAGTGTGTTCGGTGTGAATGCGGTTGTCTGTGTCCCACTGCTTCTGTTGACAGCCCAGTGACACTTGCGCGCCCATGGCCTCCTCTCGCAGCAAAGGAAAGGGAAACCACCAAGGGCTTGACATTTAACAACTGACAAAGACTGTTCACATTTTACCGCAGAATGCTAACTACCATAATAGCCTCAGTTTGAGGGAAGTGGAGGGTGGGGGGGGGGGGCGCCAAAGCTTTAGGCCCCTGGGCAGTAGCAGCTTGAGCCTCCTGATTGATATCCCGAGCAGCGCCCATTGATCGTCTGTGGATATAAAAGTATTTCCAGATGGTTCTGCTTCTCGGTTTATCGAAATTTCATATCTACTAATGAGAGAGGGGAAAAAAAAAAAAGCAATGAACAGACATTCCAAATGAGCCCAACAGCTATTCGACTCGGATATCATTCCGCATTCAGAAGTGCATTCTGCAATGAGCTCCGAATTGCGGTGCCCTCACAGCCTTTCCGAGTGCAATGCAATCCCACTTCGGCCTCTTTCTGTGCCCATTTCCAATAAGTAATGCCCTTTACCTCATAACTCACAATCACCCCCAAGACACTGCAGGCCAAGTGGTTACTTGACTTCGCCATGCCTCTCCATCTCGAGAAACGCACTCTGATCATCTCAGCAGGGGATGGGCAAGGGCAAGAGGTTGAAGTGGACCTCATAGCGGTTCATTTTGAAACGTGATTCGCGGTGAACCCACGCGGTCGAGTATGACCCTGCGCATTACAAGGCAATAAGAGATCCATTTTTATTGAAGCTGAGCTCGCCGATGTTCCTACAGCGCCAACACATTTTCGCTCTCTTCCGACACATCAAAGCCAAAGCGGCGCACTTTTTTGGACAAGTAATAATCAAACAGTGTGACACTGTGATATTGCCATTCGATGTGCCATCGAAGAATTCATGTTTCTATGTAGACCTGCACTATAAGGCACTTAGGAATATAAGGCGCACCTTCAATGAGTGGCCTGTATTAAAACTGTTTTCACATACAGTATAGGGCGCACTGCATTCTAAGGCGCATAGAAGTTTCTATAGTGGCTGCGGTTGCGCTATTCATCCACTAGATGGTGCCACGCTGAAGGGAATACAATACAATAGAATACTGTTCAGCTTTATTTCGATAGAGGCTTCACAACCGCTGCAGCTGTAACAAAGTCATTCGAACTGGTCGCAAACAGAGACATGAAACGTGTTAATACAAATGGCATTATAAAATAATCAATTAAAGATGAAAGTTATGAAGAAAATTGATTCGACAAAAAGACACACGAAGCTCGTGGGCTCACATCCACAAGGGGCTAAAAAATATAAGTCTTGCTTGTCTCCTTCCTTCGTTTAGTCAGTCATTAACTCCGCTTTTAGTATTTTCTTCATTTCGTTTTGGCTGCGCAGAGCTCACAAAGTCGTCTATTTGTGTGTTGGCGAATATGCATGTCAATTAGTGTCGGGCGGAACCCCTTTTAGGTTGCAATTGGTTCCTGCGAATAATCACCACTAGATGGCATCGGAACACTCACATGGAAACAACTCAATGGGGAATATAAAAAGACTAATTTCATACAGAAGCCGCATCGGATTATAGGGCGCACTGTCGGCTTTTGAGAAAATCGAATGCTTTTAGGTGCGCCCTTATAGTGCGGAAAATGGGGTATAAGTGTATATAGCAGACTGTATATTGAGAAGCAAGTGATTTCTTCCAGCAGTTGATTGACATACCAACAGACTCCATTTGCAGACTGTTGAGAAGCAGACTTCCTTTGACTGGAGGCGAGGAAGAGCTAGAGGAGGGTCCGCATATCGTGAGCAAGGATAAGCACAGATTTATCTGATGTCTTCTTCAAATAAAAGAAGTAACATCATCAAAACTGCCTTTATCCATGCCTTCATAGAACCAGACCTCCTCTCCACCGAGACGCACAGTTGAGCGCGCGCCGTCGCGCTTAGGACGTTCGTTTCAAGTTGACGACACAGAAAATACTCCAGTTTAAGCAGATCAAAAAAAACATACAGTTCACATGTTTGCGTACAGAGACGTGAAAGGGGAACAGTTGGGTTTGAATGCACAATAGGATGAAAAAAAAATAAATAAAAGAACAATTTAGGTCAGCTGCAACAAACATCAAGAGGTACAATCCATTATTAGTATTTCATATCTCTGTGTTTTGCTGGGATTCTGCTTAATTAGGACCAAATAGCTCGGGCACAAAGGCGGCATGAATCACAAACAAAGTATGGCAGTGGTATTCATCACATTTGTTTTTTTTTCCAAGGCTAGCCCGCATCGGTAGGTCACCGATCGAAACAGAATCTGATTGGGGTGTAGCGGTACATAATGAATACGTATTTCAGACCAACATTGTTTGTATGCACAATCACGTGCAAAGTAATGGCAGGAAATACAATTTCATCCAAATATTTATGGACCACTATTTTTGGAATTTTTTTAAACACAAGATGGCTGACGAAACGTCAAGGTGGACTTGGAAAAAAAAAAGGGGTTGAATTTACTCAATTTGATTTCGTCAAGCGGCTGCGCAAACTAAAATCACCTGCATTCTGATATTTTTTTTTTTTCAGGAGATTATATATCTTCTGAAAAAAAAAAAAATTAAATCCAGATGATTCGAATGTGGGCAGCCACTTGACAAAATAAAATTGAGTAAATTCAACACACAGGTTGTTCTCATACACAACAAATTGATCGATTGCTAGTTTTGAAATCAGTCAACTGTAATAGTTCGATTATTGTTCGGGAGTGTAAACAGGGTAACAAAATTATTGCAGAATATCTACGTTATTTATGACATATGACAGTTTGACATTGAGGTCCAGATTTTAGCAATGATCATGGAAGTCGACGTGCCTGATTTGCTTCCGGGGGCCACATAAAATGACCTGGCGGGCCGGATCTGGGCCCCGAGCCTTGAGTTTGACACCAGTGATCTATGCATTGATGCTTTTAAAAATGATGTCAAGTGACTTGAAATTGTACTGTTACCGAAAGGTTTTACGACAGCAATTTCGCTCTGAAATTTAATTCCTCGAAATCTGAACAGCGGCCAGCGTCCCAGAATGAAGAAGCTTTAAGTAGATGCATTTGAAATGCAGCTAGCTTTTTTTTGACCAGTTATAACTCTGGACTGAATTTCCTCAACCCTTGGTTGTATCGTGACGATAAATTCACATATCGCCATTGGCGTTCAGATGTAAGAAAGATTGATCGGTTCCGTCTTGAACTATGTTGGTGTGAATGGACCGTTGAAGGGTTTCGAATTGGAGTTTATGTACGGCTACACCCCGAGAACAAGAGCACAGGGACAAAGCTACACACTGGTTCATCTTCGAGACACGGACAACAGAACTCGGAAGACAGGTTCGTGGCAATGCACTGGAATTTACACAGCAGGTATAAGATGCCTCGAAGCACTTTCAAAATATTCAATCCCAAATTCAGGTGATGGATTTTAATCTGAAATACTTTTTGACTCGAGTCAAGAAAAATGTAAACAGGAAGTGATTAGAGGCAACTTTGACCGTGTAACGAAGAACAGCCATCCCTACCATGGTGACTCTGGGAGCGGACGGGCCAATGTTTTTCTCCTAGAAAACACAACCAAGCGGTTATCTATTAGACGATTCGGTTTTGGATGAGATCAAAACATGACAATGACAGTAACAACAAAATATTGAACGGCGAGTATTTAGCTTGAAGAAGAGAGTCAGGGTTGAAGAACAAAACTTCAAAATTGCAAAACTGTAAAAGAATAATTGTTGACATTGAACAAGAAAAAAAAAATGCATCAATCAACAGTAACTTAAAAAAAAATTTTAAAAAATCAAATTTCCCAAACCTGCCTTTCCAAGTTTTACGAAATTTTGCCGAAATATTTCTGCCTTTCTGTAAACCTAGTTACACATCAAGTACATGTCAGAAGATGTCAAAATCGCATTTTGATGTTGCTGTAACATTTTTGTTTTGACGCCACTTGACATCATGACGCGCGGGATCAGCCATCTTCATCCACGAAACGAAAAGCTCGCGCACTTTTGCTTGCTAGCTCGTTTCGCTGCCAACGCGTCCAACCTCCCGACCAAACAAACGCACACGCTCACCGAAAATTTAAAAGGAGGAACAGTGCCACACGTCTGTGCTTACAGACACAACAGTACAGTACTTTGATCCATCCATCACGTTTTTCATCACACCTTCCTCCCGTCGCACACGGAGATGGTGGGATGGGGGGACACCGGGGTCCGAACACTCCGCACGCCGGTGTTGACCTCAAACCCACGGACCAAATAAACGGCTATATTCACGATAAGGAGAGGTAGGAGCGTTGAGAAATGGAAAGCGGCGCCGCAAATAGGCTGATTAGCATGAATTTCCGATTTTCCACATGAGTGGACTGATAAGAGTGGGAGGTTTATGGAAACATTCAAACGGCACGTGTCAGCATTTCAATCCAAAAAAAGGACACAATGGATCGGGACACGGCAAGACTGCACTGGAGCGCAACGACGCAGCTTCTCTCCCTCCAATTTAGAAACACGCCTCTCCTCAATAACATCTCATTGCAGTTACAACCACATAGGAATCATAAAAAGAGAGTAAGGCGTGTCCATGAAGAGAAAATAAATAACATCGCGAGGAACACCGTTTGTCCGTCAATCTATAGTTTGATGTGAATAGCATGTTGAACTCCAAAATCATCATCGATAATTCTTTCTCGTCTCTCGCGACAACTCTCTTTTTCAGTTCCTCTTGTCCGTGTTTAGTGTAGTACACGCCATGTCACCAAACGTCACAGTGACGACTTGTCGCCGTCTTACAAGGCCGACGAGCTGATCTGTGATGTTAATTAGACGACATGCCTTGGTTCAGTGTGTCCCTATGGTCTTTTTTTTTTTTTTTTTTGTATATTTAATGTAATTTTTTTTTTGGCTAGGCCAGTTTCATGAGTTATTTTTTTTTAAACCCCACTTTAAAAGCAATGTCTTATTTTTATTTGGTAATTTTCATTTCATTTTTACTCATTACTTTTTTTAAGATTAATATTCCAACAAGTTTTGCTTCTATGTGTTTCACGCACTGTTCATTTACTGCTCGTTGATGATCTGCTACGTGCTATGAAATACGCTTATATAATACACCCCCTTAAGTTGTACAGTTTGAATTTCAAATAGGTCTCACCATGGGTCACATTATCGGAGTTTATTCTGATAAATTCATTTTTATTTCAGATTTCTTGCTTTCACCCTGATTTGCTTTCTTCTTTGTCATGACCAAAGGCAAAGATACTGTCGCTTCAAAATCCAACCAAATATGGCTTCCTGGAATCAATTGCCTTCAAACAACAACAGAGTGCCTCTCCACTCCAGACGTCATCCGAATGCATTTCTTAAAAAAGATATAACAGTTTACTCAGACGTTTTGCACACTATCGCTCACAACAATTCCAAAAAAACGTAATACAGGGATGGTTGCTGTTACATTAACCCTTTCATGCACCTTGTAACCTGATAACATGATATGCTGTCCACTGTAGTAACCGCTGTCCCTCAAAGGGTGAGTACATATTTTACGTGGAAAATGGATAATCTAAACATTTGCTCCATATCAGTGTGATGCTATCATTTGATAAGTCCAAAGTGTGTTTTTTTTTTGTTGGTTTTTTTTTTTCAGTTTAATTTAGCTTAATGATTTTAATGTGGCAATGAGTTGTTATAATTGCGCACTGATTAGTGTCTGCAAGTAATTACAAACTGTAGTTCCAATACCGGAATAAATCTGCTGCTGGATCACAGCCAAGTATCAATCAATGCCTTTAAAATGATCACATGAATGAAATGAATCATGTAAGGCAAGAGTGACAAGGATAAAGTATTGATCGTTGCAACGTGTCTCCCCCCAGAAGAGACGTTTCCTTTCCCTGCATTCTTTGCTTGCCGTGTTCAATGTTTTTGGCTTTTTGAAAGTGAACAAAAGGGGCGAGGAATTCCTGCAGGATGGGATATGATGTACAAAGTCAAATATGCCAAGTTGAAGCACAATATGTGGCTTGCTGATCCACCTTGTGTCTTTTACGCGCTATTTTGTCATATCTGAGTATTCAACAGCGATGGGAATTTTGACTCTTTTTTTTTTTTTTTTTCGTTTCGGCTCGACTGTCAATCGGTCCCTCAACGTTTCTGCTGCTTCAATTATTTTCTTTCTTCGTTATCCATAAGATTATCAGCGCCACTCTCAGATGCAGCATTTAAAGGGTAAGAAAGCAGCCGTTCCCATCGGCGGCGAAACGAATCTGCTGTGTTCACGCCCAAAGTGGCGCAAAGCTCCCTTTTTGAACTTTTTCAACACAGCCTAGTCTCCCTCAAATGTTCACGTTTGATTTCCTCTTTTTATTGTATTTTTTTTGACGCTTGTTTTTTTCACCTTGGTTGCATGCAGTCTCTCACGATGCAGCACCCTCCCTCGCTCCATTTTGTGGGCTCCGAGTGCCTCGTGTCTGTAACCTCCCCCCTGATCTTCTGCTTTGCGTGGACTCACGACTTCACCAATCGTGCGAGGCTTAAAAAAAAAAAAAAAAAAAAAAAAAAAAAAAAAAAAAAAAAAAAAAAAAAAAAAAAAAAAAAAAAAAAAAAAAAAAAAAAAAAAAAAAAAATCGGCTCCCAACCAGGAACCTGCTCCTGCCTTTCAGATCCTTCGCGACCGACGCCACCCTTTTATTAACAGTAGACCAAGAATTTCCTCTTATCTCAGTACCACGTCGTGTATTTTGCAACGCGTGTGTTGTTTCAGCAAATAGTTTCTTCTTACTGAGGCGTGCTTTGCAGGAAGATTTTGCATTTTACTCTCGCACCGCCAGAAACAAACAATCCTCTCATTTCTACAAGGCCTTCCACGTAAAGCAGTCATTTATTTTGACGTGTAATTTTCCAGAAAGCCAGAGCGGAGAGATAAATTCCAAAGGTGACTGCGGAGGGATGAAATTCATAAAATTCCGACTTCTGAGGCCGGGTTACAAATGGGACACATTTTGTCGGAGGCTGCACTGTAAACAACACTGGTCGTGCTCCTTAATTGGAACAGCGCTCTGTCACAGCCATCTTCACATACAGAGACACCCCATCGCTGCACAGCAAACAAGGGATAGACGACCGTAAGAGCGGCAAATGGAGTGAACCCTCCCGCCCTCCCCGCAACGCAAACCTTTTGTCACTCAAAACAGAAAACATGAGCTCGGAAACTCAACTCGGGGGGCATATCTGGACCGCTACCTCATTTTATGTGGCCCGCGAAAGCAAATTAAGCATGTCAAGTTCCACGATGCTTGCTAAAGTCTGAACCAAAGTTTTTAAATTGTCATATATAATCCACAATAACAGTCATTATTCTTGATTTCTGATTTTAAAACTAGTTACTCATCAATTTGTTGTGTGCTGTGTATGTAATATGTGGAGGTGATTAAACATTTACAGTATATGGTTTCCCAAAATTCATAACGGCCCTCCAAGTCAAACCGTAAATACAATGTGGCCCGCGACAAAAATTAGTTTGACACCCCTGCCCTCGAAGACAATTTCTATCACCCCCAGGTTTTTGATTTCTTTTAATCAACACCTCACTGAGCAAAGATTCGCCAGCGTTGTCTGCTTCGCTAATCACGGTGACATTAGCATATTAGCAAATCAACCGGCGTGACAAAGTGAATCCTTCTGTACCTGTGGTAAAACACTGGATGTAAAACTCAAATGTGTGATTTGTTTCACATCCCCAACACCGAGATACACACACACACACACACACCATTGCTCCCCTGCGGGGTGTATTGGATTGCTATCAGTCCCTGAGAAAGCGGCTTACATAACCACGCTGCCAGCAGCACCATCCCACGTCGGCCTCTATATTAGATGATAACATGGCTTTTTGACAATGGTGCTTCTCACTTGCAGTTTATGAGGGCGAGGACACTCATGAGCTTGCGCGCGAGAGAGTAAATGAGGCTATTTTTCCAGTAAAATATGTGAAAATCGATGTCGTGGAATGAAGATAAATGACGGTGGAAATTGTTTAGTCAATGTTCGTGAAACGTTGGTAAAGCAGCATGTTACATATTTGCGCTGATTGGGTTCAGCAGTTGGCATTGTTGAGCATGAAAGCCAATTGTGATGCAATTAACAAAGCCAGAGTACAAAAGTTCCTTTTTTTGTTGTTTTTTTTTTCTTCTTGCAAGAAGAAAAGCGTACTTCATTAACGCTTCATCGCAAAGAGCGATCCTCCAAGCGCAGTTAGAGCAGCGTACACGGGAGTAAGATTATAAGACTGAGTGGCGAGATTCGATAAAGAAGGGCGAGTCCTATTTCGCCGTTCTATAGTACCACATGATCAAAGGGGCAAATGCTGTTTTAATTCCAAGAATCATATCTCATCTCTCGTGCACGAGCTTATTCTAGAGAATTGTGCTGGAGGACAGAGGGAAAAAAAAGAGGATGAAGAACTAAAATCAAATGGCAACTGCAACAGTATAGTGTAGTTTACACAAGATTCGAAACAATGTTTTTCCAACTAACCATGGCCACGGTGGGATTTATTTTCAATC